TTTGTGGATGGACTTGAATCCGGTCTGAATCTAGGTGGCAGCTTCCCTTCCCAAGGTGCCCTCTGCCAAGGAAGAAGGTTCACTGTTTGAGCTCCAAAATCTGTCCCTCTTGAAGGGCCAGGCTGCTGGGACCAGGAACCAGCTTGCAGGACCCGGCAAATGGGCCTCTGTAAACCTGTGATTGTCTTGGGTTTGTTTTGTCAAGCACATTTTATGTACGCGCTTCTCACACTTGGTAAAATTAGGTAGAGCCCAGAAATCAATGGGTAACAGCTGAAAAAGCCCTGCCTTGAAAAAGCTTCTAGAGGATGGTGACTGAAACAACCCTCACCTGAGCGTTGAGACATCTCTGGGCAGGCTGGTGGAAGTGGGGAAGGCAGTTGCGTGATAACTGTGAGAGACTCATCTAAAATGGGAGGGACTGCTCAGAATGAAGTATGGGAAGTAGGCTGAGAGAGCAGAGGAGGCTTTCTTAAAGTGGTGAAGTGCTTGAACATCATCTCATGGAATCAAAAAGCCATTTAGGTTGGAGGAGACTTCAGGAGGTCTCTAGTCCAACCACTTGCCCAAAGCAGGGTCAGCATCAAGTTTGGATATCACCCCATTGTAGCGGATATTACCCTGTAGTGGGCAGACACGTGTGGTCCTAACCATGAACCCCGATATAGGAAGGGAGCGTGGTCAGAAGGGGAATTCAAAGGACAAATTCAGAAAACGCAGAGCTGGTCGCTACCAGGGAGTGCCAGGAGATGCCACGAAGTCAAGATGTTCCTCTGCTTGTTGAGCCTCTTTATTGATGCCCTGTGTTGGGTGACGGTGGCATATTGGCAGTGGCCCCAGCACAGCTGCCACACTGGGATGTCCACATCGGGCGGCCGGTCTCTGTGTCATTACGTGATTCACACTGACTTGGTGCAGACTAAGCATATAAAGATTACCGACCATGACTTGTTAGTCTTTTATCTTATTGTAAGGGTGAGATGTCAACCAACTCGCTGTCCATGCCTGGACATCTGCTCTAGGGATCTTTGTGTGCCATGATGATCCTGTCCCAGGTGTGTGTGATAACTCATCACCCTTAAACATAGGGGAGTTTTTTCCCTGCTGAATTCTGGTTTCCTTTAGAGAGAGGTGATGGTACTGCAAGGTGACTTGGTTTTAGAGTTTCCTACTAGAGACCCAGAAATCTCTCAGATACGTGGTTTGTGCTCGTTTGCTGGACTTGGTGACTTCTGACTAACCCGTTCCCTTTCAGTCCACCGTCTCTCCTGTTGCTAATCAGCAAAATGCTGCTTGGGCATGGGGTGAGCACCCCAAAAGTGGAGTCGTGTGTGTTAGCCCTTGCTCTGCTTCATGCTTTGTCATGGGTGTTCAAGGGGGAGCATCCCCGGGGCAGAGCCCAAGGCTTGATTTCCTCCAGTGCCACCTTCAAAATAAAATAGGCAAAACCCCTTTGGTTTTGTGTTGTGTGGCCCCAGGGGATGGAGGATACCTTCTGACTCTGCTTGTTCCATCCCAAGTGATGCCACCTGTATCAGCTGTGCCCTACCTCACGCGGTCACCTCCCCGCGCCGTCGTGCCCTCCAGGACTCACTGCAGCTACCTATTCTCCCAACTCTTTCTTTAACACTTTTTATTTAATAAATGGCGCTTTCCATTTGGTAATTGGCACTAATTAGGTAAAGGGGAGAAGCATGCCCTCTTCCAGGGCTCCATTCTCTCTGGGGCTCCTCTTTTTTTTCTTGTCTATTTTTTTTTTTTCTTTCTCCTTTTTAATACGCCACATGATTTTTGTTCAGGAGCTAATGTGTGATATTGATCTACATAATGAGCCTTTTTGACAGTCCGGGCACATTTGGGAATAATTCCTTGAGCAGATGAAATCCTTAGGCCAGAACTGCTCGTTCTCGGCAGTTTCCAAATGAAGCCACAATTGTTCAGAAGTGACAGATGAGAAATGGTTCAGGAGCTGGAAATTACACGAGCTGGGAACAGATTTTTTTTTTTTTTTCCCCTCCTTCCCTTCCGGATGGCATGTGACTCACTCCAAATTTGCTTGGTGATTTTATACTTGTCTCAAAACAGACTGTAAATACCAGTTCCCGGTGAAAGAGAGGGTGAGGGCTGAAGTCTTGGCGTCCTGCAATGTGGTGGGAGCTCCTGTGTCTTCTCCCTCCCAACCGCAGGGAAGGAGCGGTATGAGTCTTACCACGGGACAGTGGTCCAGAGCTTAATTCATGTGCAAACATGCCCAGCCCAGGCACAGGAGTTTATGGGTCCTTTTCTTTAAGGTGTGAGTGGCATTCAGCCGTGGAGAAATAGGAAGGAGGAGAGGGGTTGGTCCAAGCTCCCTCCGCAGTGGTTGGGTGGGGGACGATGGGGATGCTGAGCCCCCTCCCCATCACTCACCCCAGCTTCTCTGGGTGGGGGATGCGGAGCTTGGGGTGAACTCGGAGCCAGCACCTGACTGATGGCCAAAGAAGGGGTGTCAGCCCCCCAGAGCGGTCCCATCTCCCACAGCAGTGAGTCCCAGAGGTTTTATGTCACGTGTAAACCACTTAGTTTTGATGGCTTTTCTTGTCCTTCTTGCTGCTGTGGGTTCAGCCCATGTTTGCAAACCAGGTGGCTCCTGCTTGGGTCACTACCTTGAGGAGACCCCTCCCAGGAAATCCAGCGATGTGTGCTGAAGTGTGGGGTGTGAAGAGTGTTATCTGCAGGTGTTTGCAGCTGGAATGGTCCCCGCTGCCTGCTCTGTGCCCCCAGGCACCCCAGGCGTGGGCAGGGGAGAGGACCGTGTGAGAGGGTGGTTTGGGTGGTGGCAGACCCCTCCTCACCTCAGAGCAAACTGTACCTGTCCTTGCTCGTGTGACCAGATGTGTGGTCCTCATGGACTGGAAGCTCTTGTGTTGACCATGCGATGTGCAGCCACTCTTAGATGTACGAGCTGTGGCTCCTTGCTCCAGCCTGGGCTTTGGGAGTCTGGTAAACCTAAGTCTTGTTTGAAGAAGCATCCATGGCCACTTTCATCAGGATGAAGGTCTCCTGGTGCTGTTTCCATCTCAGGAGACCACAGGAGGACCTCTCCGTGCCTTTTGCTTGCCTGTGGAGTGTACCTTTCATTTCTGACCCTGGCGATGGTGTGGTTTGTGGAGCTGCCCTGTTCTCTGCCAGAGCAGGTGGTGTTTCAGTGACATTCAGATGTCCTGTCTGTTGCTGGAAAACAACGTTGGCCAACTTTCAAAGGAGTGCGTTATCTGGGATGGATGCACTGGGTAGGTGCACACAGTGATCACAGGAGCATCCACCTGAACGTCATTAGAGCTGCCCTTACTAGCAATGCTGCATTTGAGGTGTCATCAGCTTTTCTTCATTAGGTGCACATCTTCAGATGATCTGGATGTCAGCTGTTGACATCCTTACGTGTTCACTCCCTGGTTAAGGGACAACTGCAGGATTTGCTGAGGTTTTTAATTCAGTATATGGATCAGAGGAGGTGAAAGTGGTTTGAGTACAGTCTCTTGCATCGGTTGAAGAGGTGTTTGTGGGGTGGTGTATCCATTCTTTTGCGTTGGCTTTGGAAAGGGGCTGGGGATGTAGAAGGATCTGGCTTTGTTTTACAGCAGAACACTTAATTCCTTGGTGATCTGTGCCCTAAACAAGACTATCCTAATAGGGTTTGCAACGTAAGCCCCTGGATAATGGCTTCTTATTCTGCTAGCTATAATCTACATATACATATTTAGGAGATGGCTGTGCTGCTGGAGCAGAAACTGGAGGGAGGGATAACCCAGGCTGTTGGGACGCTTGGGTAGCTGAATCGAGCCTTAAAGCCAATGACTTAATTTGTATATACATCTGTGTGCATTTGCACAGCCTTCTCTTTCTCCTCTGCATTTTGACTTTAACCAGTAAGAAGATGTTAAAAACCTACATACAGAACATTTAGTGTTTCAGGCTACCATCTCTGAAGGTTTGTGTCTTGGCTGGGCTATCTGCAGATTTCCCAGAGTCAGTTTGCATCCTGAGGATGCTTTATCTTAAAAGCATCATAAAGCCCCTATGTCTTCTATAGAGCTGGTTCTCCTGCAGAGCTCACGCTAGGTAGCTGGTGAGGTGGGCAAGGGTTTTATCCCCCTGGAAACACTGGACCCTCGGAGCCAGGAAAGGACCTCTTCATGTTGCTCCAACCAGCAAAACCATGGATCCATGGCGCTTGGGGGTCTGGCAGAGCAGGACTGGGTTTGGGAGAAGAAGCACCCATGTCTGGTCAAGATGAACGTGGGCTTGTGCCTCCATGGCGGTGTTACCTTTGCTGAGGCAGGGGCTCGGGACTGTGCTGGCTCGGAGCTCAGCCGGAGGGATAGCATCGTTTCTTCTGTGGTTGCCAGACAACTGGTTGATGCAAAACATGCTTTGTTGTTTTGCAGGGTTTTTCCCTTTTTTTTGCTCTTTCTAATCCATTTTTAACAAGGAGAGGCCTTAAAAATAGATTCTGGTGTGATCTCTGTTTCACCTCCATGTGCAAACCTCCTCGCTGGACCATTTACAGTCGTGCTGTTGACTCAGCATCATTTACTGCTGCCGTCCTAGAGAAGCTTTTCAATTATCATCCTCTTCCTCACACCCCTGTCCATCATCCCCAGCTTATCACCCTTATCCAGCACAGCTAATGCTGTGGGCTTTTTAAATTAAGGTTTTTAATTCTGTTTTTCTCTTGTGCACGTGTCTGGAGGTTTTCAGTAGTTTGGGTTTTAAGAAGGAGGATAAGCAAAATGTCCGTTGTTGTCCTTAGATGTAGGAATGTTACAGAAATGGGACTTTTTTTGTTTGTGCACACATGGGAACTCTAAATGTGACCACCTAGGATTATTATAAATGTTATTGAATGTACAGCAAAAGTATCCTGCCTGTGGTAACTGATAGGCTTTGGCTGCTGGTTTCTAACCTTTTTATAATTACTGGGAAATAATTTCTTGCCTTTTTTTATTTCTTTTTCTCAGGCCCCCCCCGTTCTCGGCATCTCTCCTGAAGGGATGGAGAACTCGTCGGTGGCATCGGCCTCCTCGGAGGCGGGGAGCAGCCGCTCTCAGGAGATCGAGGAGCTGGAGCGTTTCATCGACAGCTACGTCCTAGAGTACCAGGTCCAGGGGCTGCTGACAGATAAAACGGAAGGGGATGGCGAGAGCGAGAAGACGCAGTCCCACATCTCGCAGGTGGGCGAAGGGCACAGCGTGGGGTGGGAGAGGGGCTGGGGGACGCCGGTGGCTTGTCGCCTGGGTTGGGGATGCACATCCAGCTGAAGCAGCTTTTTGAGCATTGGGGTATAAAGCAGGACATAATAAAAGACTGGATTTGGGGCAGCTTGCTTTTTCAGCCAGATATGCAGTCTCCAACCAGCTGGTAGAGGTCTTCTGCCAACTGGGTTTTGTTTTTCCGTGGTCTCAAGGTGCATGCCCTGAGGCCGAGGTGATTCTCCTTCTCTATTCCCAGACACCTGGAGTACTGCTCCAACTCTGGGGTCCCCATTCAAGAAAGACATGGACCTGTTGGAGCGGGTCCAGAGGAGGCCGTGGGAATGGTCAGAGGGCTGGAGCACCTCTCCTGTGAGGACAGGCTGAGAGAGTTGGGGTTGTCCAGCCTGGAGAAGAGAAGGCTCCAGGGATACCAGGGGCTTCTAAGAAAGACTAAGACTTTTTACCAAGGCCTGGAGCAATAGGACAAGGGGCAATGGTTTTAAACTGAAAAAGAGTAGATTTAGATTGGACATGAGGAAGAAATTCTTTACTGTGAGGGTGGTGAGACGCTGGATCAAGTTGCCCAAAGAAATTGTGGCTGCCCCATCCCTGGAAGTGTTCCAAGGCCAGGTTGGATGGGGCTTTGAGCAACCTGGTCTAGTGGAAGGTGTCCCTGCCCACGGCAGGGGGGTTGGAACTAGATGATCTTTAAGGTCTCTTCCAACTCAAACCATTCTGTGATTCTATATATGAAGGATCCCATCCTTATCTGATATCAGCAGTGTTTATCTGATTTATCTGAGCTGTGCAGGTTTGCTGGAGCTGAGGATCTGATCCAGAGCTTTGGACCCTTTATACATGAGCTTGGTGTAAAGAAATTACCAATCAAAGGAACCTTTTTAAGAACAGGTTTTGCTGAAGAGGTCTTTTACAATTTGAGGATCAAAGCTGTTAGAAGTGGGAGAAAATAAACTTAAAAATTAAGTGATCCAAAGTACTTTGTAGTGCATTTTTTTAACCTAAGGCTAGAAAATGGCAGTGCTTGAAGTGACACTTTGGAGGGGCTTCAGGTCAAACAGGCAAGCGCTGCTTTGTTTAACGTGTCGCGTTTAGAAATACTATTGAATTAGAAATAAATTAATAGTCAAAGTTTTACAACCACTTGCACCCTGTCCACACCTCTGCCCGTCTTCAGGACAAAAGCTGCTAATTCTCGTGGCAGCCCATGTACAATTTTTGCATTAAGATCCTTGGTTGCCACAACCAAAACCATCTTCCATTTGTGGAAACAGGATTTTAACTTCCCTCCGTCGCCTACCCTGAAAGTAGGAGCTGCTGGGCTTTTTATGACAATGCTAGGGATGCTGCCTTTAAAGGTGGTCAGGTTTTATTTTAAAAGAAAAAGGAGTAATAATGAAAGACCTGAAGATTGAACACTTTAATTAGACCCCTTTTAGTGGCATCTCAAATTAAGCAGCTAAATGTGGTTGTACCCCAGACCATTGGTGTCTACGTGGAATTAGGATTTCTGTGTGAAACTCCAGCAAAATGCAGTATTTCGTATTTTTAGGGCTGTATATGGGACGAGAAGTGAGGAATGGCTTTTACATAGGTCACCTGCTTTTATCGAGCCATGTCTTAAGGGATGCGTTAGGAAGGAATTATCTGTTGTCTCGCAAAGATATTCATTTTCCCACCTCGTGCCCCAAATTTGTGTAAGAAATAGCCAGGAATTTTTCTTTCTGGTTTTCTTTTCCTGGTCACTTCTTATCAAAGCAAGGAATAAGCACTCACATATCCTGCAGCTTGCTGGAGTAACCTTGGTGGAAGCCAGCCTGACTGAAGGTGACATGTTCCCTCTTAATGAGAGCTGGAGGAAAACAGCTGAGTTTATGGTGAAGGCACTGGACTGAGACCAAGAAAATTGTTTTCAACTGCAAGGTTCTGCCGACAACTTAATCTTTAACTTTGGGCAAGTTACTTAATCTCTCTGCGGTTCATTTCCTTGCGGCTGTAATAATGTTTTCCCTGCCTGAGAGAGGATAAATCCACTCACCCATGTGTGTGAGATGCTCGGATGGTACCACATCCCTGCATAAGTGTTCTCCGTGCCGGGGGAAGGAAGGAAAGGCACGTTGTGTGCTCCTCCATCTTCCATGCCACTCACAGGGGAGCTGAGTTCATCTCCAGTCTAGAGAATCCCAGAGTGTGGACATTTCCATCAGGGGGGTGTCTCCTGCCTTGCTCCCACCAGAAGAAAAGAAAGTCAGAGAGAAAATGCAATTTTCTTTCGGCTGTGGACATAATAATGGCTGAGCTGGACCTTGAGAGAGCTTTCCAGGCATGTGATTGCACTCAAAATCGTTAAAGGAGATATGCATAGGTCTAGCAGAAGGCTCTCAAGCATGATAGCATCATGAGCTTCTCCAGGTAGGTCAGCAGAGGTGGCAGGAGAGCAATGGAGAGCATTAAAGAGCTCATTAAAGGTGAGGCTGATGTTTCCCATCTGATTGAGCTAGCATGGGCTCTCCGATGAGGGCAGAGCTGTGCAGGGATGGTGAGCAGGTCTAGTGGTGGCTCTTCCTCTTATTTGTGGGCTGATCCGTACTTGTCAAGAAGCTCTCAGGTAGTTGCTGTTTGTACAGAATTGAATTTTCATTTTTCTTGACACATCAGCCTTGGTGATGGCATCCAAGCGGTGAGTGTCTCTGGCGCAGCCAAGTGCTTCCCAGGATGAAAGACCTCAGAAATGGAACTGGTCACCAAGGTTCAGTATCAGCTTGGGGGGGGGGCAACAAAATGACTTCAGGATTAAGCAGCATCTCTTACGTTTGTTTACTTGATATTGCCACACACACCCCTCGTGTGATGCAACCCTTCATTTCTTTGTGAGGGGGAGAAACCCCAAATGACCCCAAATTGAATTATTTTGGTGGAGGCACCTTGCTGTAAAACCCTGGGGGAAACAGCAGGTCCTATTTCAGAGCTGCTCGCCTCTGCCATGGGCTGTGCTGTCCTGCTGAGCTCCCACTATGGCTGGGAAGTCCCCCGATGCCCATGTCCTTCACCACGGGGCGAAGCTGGTGTGACAGCGGGGCTGCAGCATACAGCAGTGGCCAAACCTGCAGCTTTGAGCTCTGTCTTCTGTTTTGCTCAAAATAGAACCACAGGTTTTTGGCAGCTCAGGCCTCATAGCTCTCCCTGAAGTGAACAGAGTTGGGAAAAGCAGAAAATTCCCAACTTTCCATGGAAGACTCCATGGAAAAGAGTAATCAAGTCAAGCTGCCCTGGTGTGTACCACACGCCTGAGATACCAAACAGCTCTGGAGTCTGCAAGGAAATAGTGGGGATGGATTTTATTGCAAAGCATTGTTTCAGGTGCCTTCCTGCAATTGTTCCTGCATCTTCCCTCTGCTCACCATTGGCAGGTGGAGCATTTGCAAGCCAAAGCCTTTGGGGATCATCCTCACATACAGTGATGCCCGCAGCCGGACGGTGTTTGCTGTGTGCTGTGGACTGACACAGCAGTTTTCCCCGGCCCAGCTATTTTTTTTACACAATCCCTTTTTTTATCCCTTTTACAGTGGACAGCGGATTGTAGCGAGCAGCTTGATGGCAGCTGTTCCCCATCCCGAGGGAAGGGCTCGTCGTCTCACGAACACAATCAGGTAGGGGTTGTGTTTAGCTCTTCCTCACCAAACCTTCGCTTTTGTTCTTGTGCTGCCTCATCTGGCAGTGTGAAGCCTGCCCGTGCTGCCAGCTTTCCCTCTCCTGTGGAAGGAGAGACGTGTCCCTCTGCTCGGCGTCCGAAAGCTCGCTCCCACCGAAACTATGGGAGATGGGCGACATCCCGATGTGCAGATGGATGCTTTGACCAGGAGCTTATTGCTCTGTGATAAAGGGGAAAAAATACTGAGTGTCCCGTTTGTTCCTGAAGAGCTTCTTATGGCCACCTGTGCGAGGGGCCTATTTGGAGCATCAAAGCTGACTTGGAAGTATGAGAGGTAGCTGGGATGAGGGATCTTTGTGTAGCTGTGCTTCTTGGTTATGTGCTGCAGCACAAGGATGGTGTTGCAGGGAAGAGGATAAAATAGCTGAGAGGGGTGAACTGGGAGAAGAAGCAAAATTGCACGTGCTGAGGGCCTGTGTTGGGTTTGCAGTGACGGAAGCCAGGTGTGAGTCGGTTTTGGCGGTTGTACGTGGTGTGAACATCAGTGAAGAGTATTTACCAAGTGCTGCTGGCATCGCTGGAGGTGGCTTTCTCTCCTCCATGTGAGCACCGGTGTGGGAGAGGGTTGGGTAGGGTGGCGGCATGGGTTTGACCGTTGGCACGTGGTTGAGGAGCTGCTGTGCCGCCATGAGACCATCAACCCTCTAAGAGCAGCGTTCGCCCGAGGAGATAGGAGACCGAGCGGGCTGCAGGAAAGGGTGAAGCGGTGTTTGCAGTTGCTGTGGCTGATGGATGTGCCACCTGGAGAAGGGGCTTCAGGCCGGTGGTTTTGGTGCTCTTGCCCTGCTTGATGTCCTCCAGGCTTTAGTCCCACGTGTGGGATCTGTGAGAAGAAGCCTGTGAGCCCCTTGCAGGGCGGTACAAGAGGATGTTCTGGTCTAAGCAGTGCGTATTGCAGCTCCCCCATCCCGTTTTGGGCACGGCTTCTTCCCACGCAGGGCTCTGCTGGAAGCTGCTCAGCTGCGGGATGGGGGCTCACGTGTCCCCTTCCTGCCGTGTGCCTGGATGCAAGGATGCTGAGAGCATCTGTACAAACACCTGCACACAACAAAGACAAGATCTTGTTGTGTAGGAAGGTGCACGCCGTACGGACACACTGCTTCAGATGAGCCTCTGAAGGTGCCAGATGGAATTGTGGATTTAATCTATTATAGCTTTGATCTGCTCCAAAATATTCGGCAGCAAAACCCTCGTCCGGGCTCCCTCCCAGCATTGCAGCTGGCTGCTTGAAATTCCTGGTTGGCCGTTTCCACTGAGCCTCCTTGGGTTGCTCGGGGTGTTAGGAGGACCAGGTGTTTTCCCCGGGGAAGAAGGTCCCTGGCTCTTTACCCAAGGGCTCAGCTGACGTGCCGGTCTCTGGCGGGTACCACAGGAGGATGCGGGAGTCACACGAGTGATGCTTTCCTGACTCCAATCCGCACAGCCCTGACATCTTCCGTCTACCTTGTGCCGTGCTCGCTTTTCTTTCAACTTGTGGGTTTCTTATTGTGGGGGTTTTTTTTTTCCTGGGCATTAAACCTATTTGATCTCCTCCAGAACAGAGTTTGTTTTCTATAGACAAATAACATTCACTGATGCCCAAGCTGTTTTCCCTGTGCTTGGGCTCTCTCCCAGCCTGCAGCGGAGCTAATAATTATCTCTCTCCGTGTTGGGCTTCCTTTAACAGCCAGTAACAAATTTTCCTTGGCACCAAAGAGGAGCTGCAAGCTATTGTTCTTCTGCCCAGGCAAGCGTTTCTCTTGCTGTTACTGATATACGAGTGAAACGCTGCTGGTGAGGACTAGGTTCAGTTTATTACTGTTTCTGGCTGTTTTTTTTTCACTAGTAGCTTTAAACATGAAAAAAAGAAAATTCATTAATAAGGTGTTTGTCTTGAATGTAAATTATCAATCACTCTTCAAACCTGCTAAGGAAAAAGCTGGCTAATTATTTCCCAAAGGATGTTAAGGGTTTTTTTGTTGCAATTTTTTATGGATTTTGAGGGTTTTATTTGGAAAATTGAATTCCTGTTTTTCCTATTTTGTTTCCAGCTGAGATTTCTGCATTGCCGGTTGTGCAATACGCACCAGTCTTAGTTGAAAAATACTTGGATGTGAGATTTCTGCTGGCTTCAGCTACTGGAAAAATGTGGGTTATGTATCAGTGGCCATGATATGCCTCACACAGTTCTAACCTGATGATCAGAAAGGGCATTTATACGGAAATTCAGGTTCGTCCTGGAAATACATTCAGCATCTGGTTCCTTTTCTGCGAAGGCAGAGTAGTCCAGGGCCACATTTTCAAAGTAATTGGCTTCCTAAAGGTTATAGGGGACCCCAGAGTGAAGCTGACTCTCCCATGCCTGAAAATCCCCCTCTGCATCCCTAAGTACCTGATACCTTTGAAATTCTTGTCTCTAGGATCCAGCAAGGTTAAGGCAAATAAAAGAAAGATTTTTTTTTTTGTGTATAGGTGTATTATCTATTTATATAGACATTTATATATAATATGTGTGTATATAAGCATCCACAGGATTTTGTATAAGCGTGGGGCTGAGAGCAATTCCTGGATAACTTGCAATTTAAGGGTAATAATAAGGTGTCTTGATGCAACCTGCAGTCCAGGATATTCCTAAAGTGCTGTTTTTCCGACGTTGTTGGGTATCTCTGGGAAAGACCACCCCATACTTGCCCTGTTCTTGCACTGCTCGGTGAGACATCTGCTATTAGCAGCTGTGGGAGACTATATGGGGGTCAGTGCCCGTAGGCTGGCACTTGTGCATCCCGTACAAAGCAGTGCCTTAAAAAACGGAGAAAATTCCCCCTGGAAACCTTTTACTCTGGTCTTTCCAGTTCTCTGGGCAGGTGGCTGCGAGAAGATGGTCTGCTCATGGAGGATCTCATGAGATACATTTCATGAACTCCTGGTGCGCTGAGAAAATCCTGGCCTCACAATTACATTCAGCTCATCTATAATTCTCCTTGCTTCCTACTGTGAACGCTTTCGTTTGCTGCATGGCATTGCCATGCTTCGCCAAGCCCCGCTGCATTTGAGCGATACCCCCCAGAAGGTCTGGTAGCACCGTGTGAGCCTCTGGGGTGAAGACCACTCCATCGAGGTACGCAAGATACTATCTGAGCACCATATTGCCTCTAAATGAGGAAAGTTTAGATAATGGAATCATTTTAAATCTTTTCATGTTTGGATTTTTTTTTTTCTTAAAAGGACCCAGTGGGAAGATTTTATATAATACTTTATTTGCATTCCCCTCGTGAGGCTGTCACAAGTAGGAAGCTCTTTGATATATTTCTGAGAGCAATTCATTAAGTAGAGGACTTCTGGTATGGTATGTATTTAGAGAGCCAGCGGAGCTCTTGGTACATGAAAGGCCTGGCAGCAGCTCCATCCCAGGCTCCCCTTATGTAAAGGGCATTAATAAAAACCAGAGCAACTCTGCGGGTTTGTCCCATTTCTCCAGGCGGTGGAAGAGGGAGAGCTGAAAATCCTCCTTCCTGGCCAAGTCCATCCCTTCCCCCATGGTGGCTTGCTGTCACCCATCATCACCAAGCAAAAGCCTGCGGTGTTGGCAGTAAATGGGACTGCAGTTTATTTTACTGCTTATTTGCATGTGTGTCCATGTCCCACCAGGTGCAACAGGGACTTGTTGCATGATTGGGGACCTCAGAGGTTTCTCCGGTTGATGGTCATGTTGCCTATCTACTGAGCAGTGAAGGAGCAGGCAGGGTGTGTGGATCACATCTGGCTTATCCTACACCCTGCTGCTAGCACCCTTCTGCTGTCCTCCCTGAGGAGCTGGTGGTGGAGGAGATGACTCGGTTTGCCTTCCCATTAAGCCAGTAGAAACAGCAGCACGCCTGTGGCAGGCAGAGGTGGTGGGTTTCCACCCTTGGGCGTTGGTTGGAGATGATTAGCTGGCCGTTGGTTGGAGATGATTAGCTGGCCGGGATCAAGATCATCCCAAGGGCTGTGCTATCAAGTTAACAGCGTAAGATGTTGAGTTGTCCTGCGCTGTTTGGTAGCGTGGAGATGTAGAGGGCTTTGCAGGGATTTTGTGCCTTTGTCACCGAGCCTGGCACGTCCTGCCAAAGGGTGTCTGAACCCAAGCCCAAGCCTTGTTGATAAGGAAAGCATGAGAAGGTCCCACAAAATCAAATGTAATATCACATGAAACTTTATCTCTGATGTCTCTGTGACTCAGAGAAGCACAGTGCTGTGCTAGTGCCAAAACGTTTCCAGGCAGGAGATGCTTCGCGTCGTGTGAGCTCAGACTGTAGGCGAAGGACATCTGACCTGCCTGCATCTGGGGAGGTGCAGCCGGGGGAGGTGTCTTTGACTGCTGTGCGTGGGGTGGGAGCAGAGCAGATCCACTTAAACCTTTCAGGTCCCTCTTGCATGTGTCTCACCTGAACCCTCCGATGACTTCCAACCATGTGAAGTCATGGCTGGAAAAGCTGCTACGCTGCCAAAGCCAAGGCAATAGTAGGGATGGGGTGATGTGTGAAGGTTATCTTTTGGGAACCAGCAGATTTCAATGCACAGTGGAACTTAATTTTATAGAGAGTGGAAGAACCAAAGTGTCAGTGCAGATTTCTCTTGCAATTCCAGAGATTTTTTTTGCGGGCATCAGTGCTGCTTGACCGCCTGGGGTCAAACACCAGGAAATCCTCCCTGATGGATGCTGCAGAGGCAGGTGGCAAGGGATCACCGTCTCGGGCAGTGACCACATCACTAGGTCCGGAGTTGGACTGAGGCTCCTGCAGCCAGCACCGCCGTCATGTAAACTTCTCAAGTCGGCGGTGAAGTCATCCGCTTGCCCGCTTAAATCCACTGACATCAGCAGGCAGCGTGTAATGCTCCGAATCCTTGGCTAACCAGATCAGTGCTGGAGAGGGGGTGGGCGCTGCTTGCAAAGAGGCTGGCAGGATCTCCTGACCGAAG